AAAGAAATTTTTGGCAATTGTTTCCGTATCAAACAACCAAATGGGAGGGAAATGGAATTTGTTTTCCATTTTCCTTGGCAAATCTACCCTATCAAACACAACCTTAATTCATGTAAACACGGGAAAAGATCTTCCACCTAGAGTATCTAATATATGTAGTTTTATTTGAGAAGGGGTAATGAAACCTAAGAAGCATGTATTTGGATGGGTAATTTGGATACGATATGATACGGGAACACGTTGATACAATTTTATTTTATTTTAAATTATATATATGTAGTTAAATTACAAAATTTAGCATAGTTTCATTATTATAAAAAAACATTGAAAGTTTTAATATTATTATCTATTTCAAATAATAAAACTATAATTGTCGATTATTAACTCGATTTTACAAGTATTAAAAGTTTTAATACTATTGCCTATTTCCAATAATAAAATTCTAGTTGTCAATTAATTTAAAACTCTATTTGTCAATTATTTAATATCATATCTGTTTTCAATATTGAGGGTAAACTATGTAGTTTTCTATTATTTTAAAACGAGTTTACTTTTTTGAAAATGATAATTAAGAAATAACGTATATTTAAAATAAGTAATTAATAATAATAATAATAATAAAACTTTATCATTAATTGTCAATAATAATTAGTTTTAAAATAGTTGAAAACCAATACAACTCTTCCTCTTCAAGTGTCCTAACAAGTCCAATATGTATTGAAAATTTAAAAAATTTAAAATAATTAAAAAAACATGTATCATATACGTATTAGAGCGTATCCAAGCTTGGATATCTATCCATACACAATACGTAATAAGTTTACACGTATCCATGCTTCTTAGAATTAAACTATCCCCCAACTCTAGCACTAGGTGATTGAAAGAAAATTGAAAAATGAAAAAGGACTGCATGCACAAGGGATGGAATAGCCAAGTTGTCTATACATGGCAATTGTTGAATAGGTAGCTAAAACTTATTAAAGAAAATGTCTCGACGCATGCTCATAACAATTAACTGATAATAGAATTGGATTGATTTATGCTGATTAATGATGGACAAAGTGTTTCTATTTACTTTCCAAATGATGGAAAGATGTCATTTTTTCCATTTTACATGTCTAACTGATTTTACTCAAGCTTCAATGCCTTATAGCTTTCTTTGAACAAGAAATTGGTTTTAATCTGCATCTTTCCTATATTTAGTCAAAAGAGAAGAAGTCAAGCATAAAAAATCCTATGCTTATGCATAGCCATTTTAACAAATCTCGAGAACTTTCTTGTGATCTGTACATAAGCTGGGACCACATCATCTTTCTCAAGCCATTCTAAATTCATCTGAGTTCAATGAATCTAATTAATCTGTTCGTGTGTTTTCCGCAAGTGGGAATTGCTGTGACCTCATCTGTTTACTGGCTTGCTTGATTTTCATTACTCTAGTCTCTGAAGCTTATGTTTTTCACGTGTAATTATATGTTGATTAGATAATAAAATTGTGATGACACTGCAATTACTGATGCAAGTTGGATATTTTGATTTTTATGGTTACCTGACGTTTTTAATCGAATTTGTTGTATATGTTGAATGCTTTCTTACTGCAGGAGAATGGGTATCAGCTGTTATTTCTGAGTGCACGAGCAATTGTTCAAGCGTACTTGACTAAGAGTTTTCTATTCAATCTGAAGCAGGTATACTGTACTCCGACCCATAGAATTATTAGCCTTTTAACATGCATAATGGTACTTTTGGATTGCTCCAATATCAAAATGTGTTCGTAAAATGTTTATGCAACCGAGGAGAATTGTCTTAGTTACCTTTTTACATATTTAAATTAATTAATATATTCTAGCTTTGACTTCCCCTTCTTTGAACTCCAATTAGGGTTTTTTTTTCCTCTCTTGTTGAGCAGTATCTCTGTAGCACGGACACTTCAATTAGGGTAGCAAATAGGTACTCTACCGTAATCATTTTTCTTTTTATATTAGAAATATTATATATTGTTAATTTAAAGTTATTAGCAAGTAACAAATAGGTACTCATATTTAAAAGATTTCAACAAGAAAAATTAATAACAAGTATAAAACTAAATTTATACTATATTAATGAAGAATTTTTAAGAATTTAATCAACGTATCAATAACGTATCGTGTCTTTACTTTTTTTTAAAATCGCGTGTCAGCGTAGCCGACACGTATCGTGTCGGACACACATGTCCGTGTCGGTGCATCATAGAGTAGTATAAACAACTACAATTTATTTGGCTCATCAAAAAAATTCGACATCTTGCATTAACTTCGTGTCCTGCAATTGTTTATGAGTGACTTTTTCTTTGCCTTGTCAATGGTGCAACTTTTCCATGGTATTTTTGTGGCGAACTTGAGAATTTAACTAGCATTACAACCAAATTCCATCCGGTGAATCATGTTCATAATGCTTGCAGGATGGAAAAAGCTTACCCAATGGACCTGTTGTGATTTCACCCGATGGCCTATTTCCCTCATTGTACCGGGAAGGTAAGGTCCTTTCCCCGAATTATTAGTGGACTTCTATTAACATCTAAATGTTTCCAACAGCATGAGAAACAAAAGTGAAATTCTTTTGTAGTCAGGACCTTTTTAATTCTACTACTAATAAGAAGAATATACTGGTGTTTTGTTGATGGCAGTTATAAGAAGAGCTCCTCATGAGTTCAAGATTGCTTGTTTAGAGGTAAGTTTTACTGTGGTGTGCATGGTTTATTGGTGAAGCATTTAACTGATCTTCAAAACATCTTGATTCTTTAAGCTTCCTCTGAAAGTGTAAACCCCCTTTTGCAGGATATCAAAGCACTTTTTCCTGCTGACTATAACCCATTTTATGCGGGTTTTGGAAACAGAGACACTGATGAACTCAGTTATCGGAGAATAGGGATCCCAAAAGGCAAAATCTTTATCATTAATCCCAAGGTAATTATCATTTTTATTCATTCATGTTGTAAGCTGGATTGTAGAATACCCAACAGTTTCAATAAAGAAAAAAAAGTTTAATTCTTGTTCGTTGTGCCATCCAGCACCACATATCAAACATGCATATGGCCACGAAACTGGAAGTTTATTTTTTCATATTGTTCCC